GCACTCGCCTTGGTTTGAGTCGGATTGGGGCCACCCCAGGGTCCAACTCGAAGTCAACTGGGGGCCCTTTATAACAACCCAGTTTTCCATTAAAGAGACCAGCAAATTCTTTGCATAATGCCTCGCTCATCTCAGGGCAGGTTTGGATTGAATTAAGCCCTGATATACTCAGTCCCAGGGCGGGGAACCAGTCAGTGCCCAGGAGACTGGGGCGACTGCCCTTCGCAATCACCAGTTTGAGTACAGCCTGTTTGTCCCGGAACTGTACTCTCACGGCACACATTCCCATAACATGGATGCGGCCCGCTGAGTATGACTGCAAGGTTGCCGGGAAGGGTTCCAGAGGGGGCAACTTACCCCTGGGGAAGAATGTCCTCGCGGTCTGGTCCGACACGATAGTGAATCCAGATCCGGAGTCCACCTCCATGTCGCACTGCTGACCCTCAATCTTCACCTTGACGTGTGCCTTGCCTTGTGCTGGGAACTGCACGACCCTCCCGTTGATCTCCGTAACGTAGTGGCAGTCCTTTAGAAAATGGGTTGCTGCGGGCGGTCTGCGATGCTCCGGTCTAGGTGCTCCTGTCGCTCCCAACGCCGCCGATCTACAGACCCTGGCGATGTGACCTGTCTTCCCGCACGTCCGGCACATAGCATCCCGGAAACGACAACTCTTCCGCTCATGGTTTCCGCCACAACCTGGGCACCTGCCTCGGTGATCTTTGTGCACTGTGCAGGCCTGACTCACTGACTCGACCCCACGGACTGGGCTCTGGCTCGGAGTAGCCTCTAGCTCGTCCATGGCATGCGCAACTTCTATCTGTGGCTTAGGGGCCTTGCGACTGGCATCAAGCTCCTCTCTTTCATAATTCTCCGTGGCGGTGGCCTCCTTCAAGGCTGAAGCAAGGGTAACCTCTTCTTTAGCCACGATGCGTCTTCTGGCCTTCTTGCTGCTCAGACCACCGATAAACCGATCCAGGAGAGTCTCTTCCAGATTTTGGAAGTCGCAGTGCTGAGCGAGCTTCCGCAGTTCAGCCAGAAATGCAGATACAGACTCCCCAGCATGCTGCTGCCTCTTATGAAACTCCATCCGCCGAGCCATCTTGGTCTCAGTAGGCGCCAAGTGGCTTGTTAGGCAGGCAAGAATATCTTTGAGAGATGTCTCACTTAGCTTCGCTGGAGCAAGCAATGCCTTGGCCAGCTTGAAGGTCTCAGGCCCACAGTAGCTCAGGAATGTGGCCCTTCTTTTGCTGGCATCGGTGATCCCTTGAGCCTCTGCGAAGAACTCGAAGCGTTCGACGTAGTCTTCCCACGTGTCGGGCTCTGATGGCTGGAAGGGCTCCAATACCCTTGGACTCTCCATTGTCCTGTGGCAGGGTCGTCTTCTCAGCTGGCCAGTGAGTCTTGTTCTTAGCTGCAATCCGGACTCTGAGGCAGGGCTGCGTTTAACCGCTCCTCAGCATTCCGGATCCCATCCTTCGTCGCCAGTTGTTGTGACGTGGGGTTTGTGATTTCAGCTCTCCTGATATAACATGCTGGAGACAGTTCTCTAGTAACACTTCTTTATTAAAGCAACAAGACTGAAGACTGGGGAGAGGAAAGCTACATTTATAGGGACAGGGAACTAGCAAGAAAGGATACATTTTGGAGGGAACAATATCAGGCAATCACAGTCCTGCCTTTTGGAGGGAACCAATAAGACAGAGGATCCAAATACAGCAGCTTAAATGAACCAATAGTAGCTGTACCCTCTGGAACCAAAAGGCAGTTACTTTACCCTAATGCAAATACAGACAATAATAATACAGATATAAAATCCTTTGACTCAATACACAACACATCCCAAGAGCAAGAACAGCGTGAAACCACTTGGGAATGAGTCAGTAGCAACCTGCTGTTCTCTCTGGCACCAGAAGCAAAGCCTTATGGGAAGGAGAAGTGTCATCTTTGTAGAGAGGGGGAAAGTGGCAAACTGAAAAAGAAAAGGCAAAGGAGGAGGAAGAGGAGGGGGGAATAAGGATACAGATACGTGCAGGAGAAGGGCTGAGGCACCAACATTTTGCTCACATATAAGTGTAACAAAGCCCTGCTGCTTCTGCCCCCCATCCTGCTTGAAAAAGGAACTTTTTTCAGTTCAGTTTTCAGTTGTTGTTGTTGTTTTCAGTTCAGGGGCCACATTTCCTTCCGGGCAACATTCTAGGGGCCACATGCCAGTGGTGCGCAGGGCCAGAGCAAAAGTAGGCAGGGGCAATTCATATAAATTTCACCTACTTTCACACACGCACACGGCTCTCTGTTATCTAGGCACCGGCCTAGGAATAGGTCATTTCTGCTTTTCAATGTCCTATCAAGTTCTTTGCCACTCCCAAGTTTGTCCAAATCGTGCTTGCCTGGCACAAAGCTTTTTTGTCTGTCATTGTGATTTCTGCATGGCCAGGGGGTTGGACTAGATGACCCTGGGGTCCCTTCCAACCCTACTACGACTCTATGATTCTATGACTGCAGCTCTCTGAATTGTTTTCTGGGAGTAAAGCTCCTTTAAACTGAATGGTGCTTACTCCTGAATGGCATAGGTTCAGTGCACTGAGCTGTAACAAAATATATTCAGCCAGGTGAAGAGCAACTTTTAAACTTTGTTTAGGGCGGCAAACCATCTTCTATTTCAAACTGCTGTCATGAATGAAGAAGGAACACCATCAAAGGGAAAGAATAAGGACCCCACCCTCTGCTTACGGATGCCCCCCATTCTTTGACTACTGCTGTGATAATCTGTGGCAAACTCCAAAGCCTCGTTGCAGGGCTGTTTTAAGCATATGTGATGACGGGGTGCAAAAACCCGCCCAGTACCTCCCCCCAGGTTGCCCAGAGTTGTCGACCTTTATGGGGGGGCAGCGCGCTCTGGGCCGGCCATCGAGGCGCGCAGGCAGGGCAGAGCAGCGCACCGAGGAGCGCGAGGCTGGACACCTCGTCAGGTGGGCAGCATGCTATGGAAGGCCTCTCTGCGGCCCTATGCCAATCCCAGGCAGGAGGGTGGAGCAAACTGGCCACCTCAGCATCTCGCTGGCTCGGTTGCCCCCAAATTCGCAGTGCAGAGCCATCCGTAGCAGAAGAGTCCGCCGCAGTGCTCTGACCAACGGGCAGGCCCAGACGGGGGGGGGGCGCATATGGACCACTTGGCCCGGGCCTCCAATTCCAAAGGGGGCCTCGGTCAGCTTATTCACAATCGTATATCTATATTTTCCATTTTGTCTTTATATGCAGATACGGTTCAAGCCTTGAAATAAAATTATTTGTCAGCATACCTTTTGTGAAAATTATTTATACAGTGGTGCCTCGCAAGACGAAAAGAATCCGTTCTGTGAGTCTCTTCGTCTAGCGGTTTTTTCGTCTTGCGAAGCAAGCCCATTGACGGATTAGCGGATTAGCGCTATTAGCGGCTTTTAGCGGCTTTATAGCGGCTTAGCAGCTTAGAAAAAGGGGGGGGAAAAACCCCGCAGGAACTCTCAAGACATTTTCGTCTTGCGAAGCAAGCCCATAGGAGATTCGTTTTGCGAAGCACCTCCAAAACGGAAAACCCTTTCATCTTGCAAGTTTTCCGTCTTGCGAGGCATTCGTCTTGCGGGGCACCACTGTATACTTATTTATAAGACTTCAGTTATCCCCAGGGTAAAAAAAAGGGGGGCCACATTATCTACCTGGCCCGGGCCTCTGCCTGGCTCCGCAAGGCCCTGCCAACGGGCGGGCTCTTCCCCAGACTCCAACTCTCGGGCCCCGGACTCTCAGCCTGGCGCCCCTGAGAGCCCAGCGCCCGGGTGCCTCACACCCCTAACACCTATGGTTAAGACAGCCCTGCCTCGTTGTCACCTCTTGTATTTGCCAATGCAAGGAGGGGGCATCAGTTACCCTGGTGTTCTTGCGGTTGACATCCTTACCCATCCTCTGAAAAAAAAGGAAAAAAGTCCCTGCGCTGTTCTCCAACTCCTGCTCCCCACTATACTAATATTCCTCTCAGTATCCTACTATCAGAGTCAACATGCGAGTTACAACGCTGCTCTGTTGGCCTGTGTGAATGCTGATGCACAATTGGGGGGGGGGGAGGGAACTGTGCAAATATCTGTGGTACTAAATTTACAGTATGATCGCACTGTTATTCATTCTCCCCCCCCGCCCCGCCATCGTTCGCACCACAGATGCACCACAAGTACAGCATGCCAACTTAATTTTTGAAAAATAATGCTTTGAATTTAGTTTGCATTTCTGCTCAGAGTCAAATGAAAAGAGAAAAGGCAGATCAGCCTGAAATTGAAGAGGTCAGTAATTCCGAGGATCATCAACTTGTGAAAAGAGAGATCGTTTCCCCCCTCCCCCACCCTATATGAAAGGAATATTGAATCTTTAACAGCAGCATTTACTACCTTGGGATTGGGAAATCAGACACTCCTACCAAACTCTCTCTCTTTCTCTCTTTCTCTCTTTCTCTCTTTCTCTCTTTCTCTCTTTCTATCTCCTACCACCAACACTTTAAGTGACAAAATAAGCAGCCACTCAAATGTGAAAATGGATTCATTCCCCAGCTGAGTGCAAATGCCTGGCATTTTCCAATGATCAAAGTAAAATTACTCGTCGCCGGAGCGCCCACTCAAGACCTCAGTGACTTTAAATTTCATTTGAGACTTTTCAGATATAATGCTCTTCTTGTATTTATGATCCTTCCTTCCACTTGCAACAGGCAGCTCTCAGTCGCCCTGCTGTGTGCACATTTTAGACGCCTTAGAAAAATTAGAAATTGCCAAGACTGTTAAAACGGCTGAAGGACTGATTCTCCAGCACTTAAAAAAAAAAAAAAAAGTAAGTTGATCTTTTTATTTTATTTTCATTTTTTAAAGGGCTTTGGATTGATTCCATTCACTCTGCCCAAATCACTCACGAGGAAAAAAAGAAAAGTAGCCATATAGATAAGAAATTGCAGCTGTTGGGTGGGCGTTCTGATTACAAAGTTATGCCTGGAATTGCAAAGACATTCCACCAATTGAATAAGGTGCTTCCTTATTCCTAGCTACCCTACTGTCCAACAGCATCTGTATCGCCTACTCTGAGTAGCAGTGGCTTTCCAAGGTCAAAGTCTTTTCCATCACCTGCTACCTGATCATTGGCTACGCTTGCTGGGGCCGATGAGAGCTGGGTTCCTGCAACGTCTGGAGAGTCACCGCTTCCTGCGGTTCCTGGGAAATGGTCAGGGATTGAATCTGAAACATTCTACATTCAAAGCATGTGTTTTTAAGTATAGCAATTTAATTCACCGAAATTGAAAATGCTTGTATGCATTACCAGGTTGCTTAAATTTGATTGGTTGCTAAATGAATTCTAGAGTCTAGTAGTTCTCATGCGACTGGCTAACGTTGGTCGCATGGGAGGTATCTAGTGAAGGAAAGACTCCAATTTTATGTGCGACAAGATGACTGTGTTTTAGAATCCACTGTGAACACTGCTAAGTTGAATGAGTGTGGGAGCGCTTCTTCTTTGGAGGTCTCCCATAGGAGCTGCAAGGCATGGCCTATTGAGATACAGAAGACTGAAAGTGCTGAGCTCTGGAAAGAGAGGAAAATACACTTGTTTGGAAGTTAGAAGAAGAGACTGTAAGCCCATGCTTGGACAAGCACGGGGCTGTAAATGTTGTGCTTTAATTCATCTATAAGTTTCTGCAAGTAAAGTTTATTAATGTTGAAGTCTGGAATTGGTTTCCAATTTCCAAAGAAGGGTGTCAGTGATATACTGTATTTATCGCTCCATAGGACGCACCTTTTCCCCTCCAAAAATGAAGGGGAAATGTGTGCGTCCTATGGAGCGAATGCAGCTTTCGCTGAAGCCTGGAAAGCGAGAGGGGTCGGTGCGCACCGGCCCTCTCGCTCTCCAGGCTTCAGGAAGCTATCCGCAAGCCTTCAGATGGATCCCGCTCGCAGTCTTGGCTTCTTTGTTCTTTGGGGCTGGGGGCAATAATTTTCCCCTTATTTCCCCGTAAAAACTAGGTGCGCCCTATGGAGCGAAAAATACGGTATATGATTTGAGCTTCTTAGCTGTGATTTTGCTACTGTTATTTCAACATGTGTCTTGTTACTAGCGATGGCACAAACCAGGTTGCATAACCAAATCACAATATGGGATCTGTTCTGGGATCTAAATTACACTAGTGCCTATGTCTGCAATGTATGTTACATGGCAGAAAAGTCCACTGGGAAAACTGGAATGTTCAAAATTCTTACCAGGAATCTTTTTGGCCCAGGCAATCATGTGGACCAGTTCTTTGTCTGCAAGCTTCGTCAGCGACATCATCATGGAGGCTTCTGTAAATGGTTTGCTGGGGCGGCTCACCAACACATTTGGTGGCTCGGCTTCAAGTAATATGGAAACGAACTGTTCCGGGGTCAGTGCATTGACCAGCAGTTCTTTTACTTGAATTATGGCTTCATTGTTCTTCTTAACTTTGCCTACGCAGTGCACGGGATCGTCTGAGTTACGGTGGCGGCGAATTATGCGATAGCCACAGCGCTCTCTTCTTGAACCTGAAATTCACAATATTTCAGAACTAAAGGAAGTTTTTCATTAACCCAGTCACCACATTTCCCTTGTGCAGGGTATAATAAATAATAATAATAATAATAATATTCTAATAACAATATTTTAAAACACAAAACTGGCCAATACAAGAACAATGTACTAATAGCCAAATTCCCCAGTGCATCCGGCATTCAAGTTGTAGACCTGGAAATTAGGTGGGCACCGATGGTTTCATGCTTTCTCCATCAATTAAAAGCTTAACTTTTTGCTCAGGCATTCCCCAGCCACGAATGTCAGTTCTCCAGAACCTTCAGTTTACAGCTGATATCAATGTTCATTGAACGTTCTGTTGGAATGTTCTATTACTTTATTTCTGCAAATCTGATCTGATCTGAGAGCCAGTGTGGTGTAGTGGTTAAGAGCGGTAGTCTCGTAATCTGGGGAACCAGGTTTGAGTCTCCGCTCCTCCACATGCAGCTGCTGGGTGACCTTGGGCCAGTCACACTTCTTTGAAGTCTCTCAGCCTCACTCACCTCACAGAGTGTTTGTTGTGGGGGAGGAAGGGAAAGGAGAATGTTAGCCGCTTTGAGACTCCTTAAAGGGAGTGAAAGGTGGGATATCAAATCCAAACTCTCTTCTTCTTCT